CTTTGTACATTAAAGCGATGTTTTAATTGAAAATACTGCTTTTCTCCTGATAAAAGTATATACATAAATAGAAGAATGACTATTTTATATGTATAGAAATACACTAGTTTATCATACCCATCAAAAGTTGATAAGTATTGTAAGTAACAATGCTTAGTTGAGGTAACGTCAGATTGATTATAATCAACGAATGAATTTGGAAAATGAATAAAGAATTGGAAATATTTCAAGCCAGAATAGCTCTTTCAGCCGAATACTTTTCATTATTAAATAAAAAACAATAAAATACTTTCTCTATAATTATTCGGTTATATCTTTATAAGACTAATATATATTTATGTAATCTGTTTCAAATATACAAAATGAATTTGTGATTTACACTGGTGTTCAAGAAAAATAATAACAATGACATTCTGTTGTCGTGGGCTGCCAGCACATCCACAGTTTAAGTGTTATTTTCAACCAAATCACTACTTCGACATACGTCGTTGTTATTTTATTGTTACGTGTTAATTTTAGATTAGTTTATTCAACCATTTCCTTCAGTTCTTCTGTTTTACTGATTAATTGTTATGACTTCTGACAAAATATACAAGAAACTGGTTGATTATTGGTTTGTTCAGATATTCAGGATATTGTAGTAAACTTTACACGTATAAATATCCTAACTGTCACAGTTTATATAACCGTATATATTAAAAAGTTCCAGTCATGAATAAAGCATCCTATAAGAGAGAATTTTATGACTTCTATTCTGAGATCGAAAATTAACAGCTTAATATTACCGAAGAATGTCGAGATGGCTGGAAACATTAAAGTTTCTGTGAGAAATTAATTCAAATAGATTAAGTTCAGGTGTAATGTCGTAATGTGTGTAACATGTGTAAAATCGTACGTCCGTCCGTCGTCTACTTAGAACTACATTCTGTGTATCAGAATCATAACATGTATTGCACCCATATTATCAGCACCCATAGAATTTGTAGATTGTATTGTGCTTCTTACTGAAACCATCTACTTCATAATTCAGGATTTATTTCTCACCATCATTAAGTGTGTGTTGGCTCTTAATTCCCTCAGATGTCTTTAAGTAATCTAAACACTGGATACTTGTTTGGCTGTAGTTGTTGGGTGTAAAGTATCTATGGTTAGGTACTAGAACTATCCATCGTGGTAGTATTAATTTGCTTTTGTTTATAGCCATGCATACAGAAGCAATGTTCGTGTACCTGAATGGATCTATGTCACAGGTTGTGAGAAACTCTTCATTCATTTGAAGGCAGCACTGTCGAAAATATTTATATTTGATTGTTTGTTTGTGGAATAAAAACTCACGTATCTAATACACTGTGTTATAAAGCAGTGTCATTAGCATAATTGTTTTACTTGTAAAAGCGAAACAGCAGGTGTGTTAAAATACTACAGAACTACAGAAACACTGTCCATCTAATGTATCATTATCCTTCCCTGTAATAATAATAATATCTGCCCATTGAAACACTGTCAGCCTTTGTAAATCATGTAAGTGAATATTGTAAAGTAACTGTGAACATTTATAAGATGAAATGTTTTATCAAGAACTTATTTATCTTTATATACAATAAACATCATAGTTATATACTTTTGGCCAAAATAATTACATACTGTTCTATAATAATTATTTGAGCATTTTTCCATCAAAACATACATACGCACCGGTTTTCTATAAAAATGTGTAGTATTGGTATAATATTTTTCGAAACAAATCAATGCTTTGTTCAGATAATTTCTCTACACTGGGCGTAGAATAATGCCACATTTCGTACCAGAAGTTATAGGGTGTCAAATTTTTCGACTGTCCAGAAATGGTATGAAACAAACATACACTGTCAAAATAGTATGGTACTCCGAGTGTACTGTATCCAGAATCCTGAAACATAATCGGACTACAGGAAACGTTGTTGCAGGATAGTAAACTAGTAGATGCCGAAAAACTACTACAATATATGACTATATATTGATGAGGTTAACACAGTAAGGTCGAAATAAGTCTTGCAACACCTTGTGACAGGAATGGCATGAATACATTTATTTCATAGTATCCAGAAGAATAGGAAACTGGCCAAACAAGGCTAATTTCAAAGAAGATATTTACCAGAATTCACTGCCATCACCGAAGCACATAGATAGTTTACAAGCAAACCATCAGAGGATGATGTAGATCAACGTATCTCAACATGTGATCAACATCAGTATTCAGTTACATGTAAACCTATTATTTGTATTTTATATAGAAAGAACGGATTTTTCGTAATTGATTTATCTAACTATTATGTAATAATTTAACATACAATCTTGCTGTTTCACTAGTTTGACTTTTAGGATTAACTATATTCTTATGCTATTTCGCTATTCATACAGTCTTGGCCAAAATGTTTGTATATTTTGTAACAAGTTACATCATTTTTATTATAAATTAAACATCTGCATATGTAATTTTTATAATCAGCTCTGTGGACATCATGAACGATTTATTAGAACAGCAAACAATTTTATTAGACATCTGTAGTAAGATGTGTAATTCAATATTTCATCTATCACAAAAACACCTTACCAAAACGTATACAATGACAAAATGTAACATCAAATTATTATAAATAGCGTCTGCACCTTTATATCAGTTCATTATTTAAGATTCGGTACTTGGTTGGTCATCCTTGTACTCTAATAACCTTCATAATGCGACATGGCATGCTGTTGATGAGGTTATTGATGTAATCCACTGTTATTTTATCCCAATTTGACACTCAGCTACAGTAGGTGGTTTAGGGTTATGGGATTACGATCTGGAGGCTTTGTTGATCATGGCAGTCTTGTAACGTCCTCCTGTTCAAAATAATCCTGTAAAATACATGTTCTATAGGCAGTGGCACTGTCATCCTGGAACACAATGTTATTGCCAAACCTTGGTTTAGCACGTGGTAGAAATATTATCTCCATGTGATGTCTGTAGGAAGAATCATTAACATTTCCCTGGAGGATAAGCAGAGCAGTTTTTCCACCATGATGAATAGCTGCCCAAACATGTACTGAACTACCTCTTGTGGAAAAACAGTTTTTCATCGTTTCATCTTCCATCTTTTCTCCAGGCTAACAACGGAAACGAATTCTACCATCAGCTTTCACAAGCCAAACACAGGATTCATCTGAAGAGATGGCATGTTGCCACTGACCTAACTATAACTTGGCATGCTGTCTTGCCTAAGTAACAGAAAATGCGGGTCAAAGATCGAACCCTTCACTGAGCATAATCGTCCTCTAAGCTTTGAAGAAGGTATAATGTGACGGTTAATCCTCTCATTCGTAGGTAATGAGTAGTCTAAGAATTGAATGTGGGTGGTGTTGGCTAAATGCCTTCTATCTATTCTAACACTTGAAAGTTAGAGATTGACTCAAGTAGTTCTGCATGAAATTCAACACACAAACTAACACAATTAACCAGAAATACCTCATTAATATAGTGAAAAAGTTCTAATGAAACTCATCATGAAGAAAATGGTTAATGGAAATGGCAGGTTCTACGTCTTTGTGAAAATCAAAATATAACATAACAAACAAAAATAACATTTATGATCTTGTTAGAAAAAAGAACAGAAAAGAAAATATCGGAAAATAAAGATTTTTTTACTGTTTAACATCTAGCATTATTATAAAACTTTTTCTTATATGGACAAAGCTTTCTCATTTTAACACAACAGTTACGGGTAATTCGCTTGAAAACCGGGCAGCGTTTTAACTTTTGAATCAGCACAGATCAAATAATATAAGTTTTCAGGTAGAATTAGCCAACTAGATAATGTAATGTGTAATACAAGTCTCTGATGCTGTCATAAAGTTCAAGCCTAGAAAATATTTAATGGAAGTTTTGAATGGACATAATGTGGACCTAAAATTCCCGAATGTCGTTTTTTACATTTAGAAGAGAGTGGGGATCGGTACATTCACAAAAATTATACGGAACGTTAGTGTACATCGTCACTTCAGAGGAGAATCTAGAGAGTTAAATTAATCTTTCTATGTACAGGTTAAAGTTATTGCAGCTGTTAATAAAGTAACAATGGGAAGCTAGTTCTTCTGTACTGATACACCTACATAACCTGATGCTGCAATACATAGCTACGATACATATACAAGCTTTTAATCTATAGCGGTGTTGCTTCACTATCACATCATCGCGTATTTGCGAAGTCTTCCAGTCTATCTGTCATAATACAAGTAAGTTGTAAAATCCATACTGAAATGTTTATTTTAAAATTATGAAACTTTTAGCAATCGTATTACTGAATTGTATTTACATTATTTCAACTGTCTCAATTGCAATATGTACACAAGGTTTTTAGTAAATTCTGAGATGAATCGTCATGTTTATACATCTGTTTTCACAATTCTTTCTTTGTTTGAGAACGTCTAACACACAGGCTTTTCTACTTTTTGACGCTGTAAACTTCATTAAAACATTTTACCTCACATTAAAAATAATGAAAGTTGTAATGCACTCCATTCAGATTATCACACACTGATTTCCTATATTATATTGAGTTAAAATTGTTTCCCTTACAGCTACAAACACAGAACTTTAAGAACTAAAATATGATGTACAAATACAAATGGACAACATCCAACACTATCTTTTTTTGTTTTTGTTTTCATTTAGATAGATGTTTTGAAAAACGAATGTCAATAGAGGATATATTCCCGTAACGATGCATGATAATAAAATTAAAACCAAAAATGTCATTTGCTTTTCTAAGGATCATGCTTAAACATTAAACTCTATGTATGTTTTATTAATCAGTTACATAATACATTTGAGGGAGATAACAAGATCGTTTGAACAAAATAAATTCCTTCAATATGTAAAATATTTATCTCATATTAGGTTTGAAAGTCATGGTCAACTGAATACTTAAATTTCAATATATTTTGTATATTTCATGGAAATAATTTTTTTTCTAATCACTTTCTACATGACAGAACACAAGGAAGTTTAAGTTATATTCGTTTATTCATATACTTAATGTGGTATGCTATCATTAAAGAAAATAAATAATAGTTCCCTAGAAATGTTTTAAAAAGAGAACTGGACTATGATTAATTAAGGAATTGCGATGTGAACTTATTATAATGGTTAAAAGTACCGTATACCTCGATAGCTTAATAGTTCTCACGATCAGAGATATGCCATGCAGTGTTTTACACCTTGAATAATCTAGGCCATGAGATAATTGACACCTTAGTTATTAATTGTGAAGGCCACATTGTTACAGTGATATGTCTGTGAACTTCTAGTACAATAAACCAGGTTTGGATACCCGTTGTGGGCACAGCACAGATAGCCCATTGTGTAGCTGTGGTGTAATTTATCACGTGACCTACTATGAATATTGCGACGTGATATATCCTTGACTTTAAAGTTGACAAATATCGAGTAGGTAAAGCATCGTTAAGAAACTGATAAAGTAGATATTTAACCAGATTTTTATTTCTCAAAATGAGAAAGGTTGTAAGGCAGTGATGTAATTTCAAACACTTTTATTTTTAGAAATAGATAATCGTATTTAACTTTTTATATACGATGATTAATTTTAATGGTTTTTCTTTTAAGTCCTAAAATTTAAAATATATAATTTAGAAAACTAAAGAAATATATATGTTATTGGTTAATATTAAAACTGACGAGAAAGACCAAGATTATAGCTTCGGGTCGATTAAATTAATGATCCTTATATTCATATAAAAATAAGGCATAGAGAAACATTTAATATATATATATATATATACACATGTATACACACACTTGCTTTCACTCTCAAGTATCTCATATCAAATAACTCATTCTATTATAAAGCCAAGCCTATATTCAAACTCATTAAAGTAATTAACTTCATAAGCTAATACCCAAGAACATAAAACCCATGATAATTGGAAGGCATTGAATAATGAGATGGATACCCTGGTATTATTAAGATAAACACGTGAGGCAAGATAAGTGTTTATTTTCCTTTTGGCCTTAAAATGTGAACATGAAATTTTCAAATAACATTTTTCAAGTTTTGCCTTACATTTGCTTGTAGATCTAACTATAAAGAGCTGGCTATAAAATGTGACTAAACTGCTATCATCCTAGTTACACCTTTGCCAATGAACATTCCTCTTGGTTACATTAAATCTTTCAACAGACAATATGGTCTTAGAATTAATATAGTTTTATTCACAATGTTGCCCTTATAGAAAAGTTGACGAAGCAGAACTTACGTTGCTGCCTGAAGTTAATATATTCACTATATACTCATGTATCAATCAAGAATTAAGTTCGTAACGCATGCGCTATGCGGTAGATAATCCTGTAATGTTTTTAGTTTTATGTTATTGAGATTTCAGTTATTTTTAAATATCTTTCTCTAGTTTTTAGGGTTTAGTGGTCTTTGTTGTTCAGTAAACATGTCTCATTGAATCATGTTTGTTAGTCATCTGTATATTAAAGACTTTCCCGTTCCTTTCTGGTAATTTGTGTCCAGTATCATCCTTCCTTTCACTCATGTAGGATATACAGTGTAACTCTACATGTTATATTATGTCAACAGTCTTGTTATTTTAGTTATTATTTTTATCTCTAAAGTAATCTGTGTGGCTTTAGAAAGTGTTGAAGTTAATGAGAAATTGGAAACTTTATTTGAGAAACATTAATAACTACATGAAATAATTTTTTCATACTTTCTACGGAAAGTAATAGTTTACATTTATTGTCTGATGTTTTTCTTTAGAGAAATTGTATTCTTGAAATCTAATGTTAAAATAACTTTATTATTATAAATGTTTCACTATTACGTTATAGTTTATTAAGAAGTTTGATAACATTAAAAATTTATGCGAATGATACATTTATGCGTTTCTTTAGTCTATTAATTATTTCATAATAGTAAAGAACGGAATAGTACTGACGATAAAGAACAAATAAATCAACATGAAATATGAAAAGAAGATCTTTCTATCTTGAAAGTTTTGATTTTAAATATAAGTATCTATATGTGATTATGTATGTGTATATCTATCTATCTATTTATCTTATATGTATATATATAATCAGTTTTTACACATGTTTTTAAAAACATTAGAACTTTAGTAGATCTTGGTCTAACCCTAATCAGATTATAATATATAGTATTTATTAAAATTAGTAAAATCATCTCTATCCAGTCCTATCATGTTTTTCACTGGTCGTATTGAATGAAACCTTAACTAAAGTGTTAAGGTAATAAACTGAGGTTATAAGATAAATTATGATTTTATGTTGTTTGTTTTTTTTTCAAGGTTTCAATCAAATGGATATTGGACGACCATACTATGGAATTGGCTTATTTTTTTCTGCAGGGTTTTTCACCGTCATCATTGGTGTACTAGTCCAATTTACCAAAGACAGGATATTTATGGATGTTATGGGCTTATCTCAAGTAGTCCGAATATTTATTATTTCACCTCTGATCGTTTTCCGAAATGTAAAGTTCATCTACGAGCGAAGAACGATTCTGTTAACCTCTCTCCGTTGTCTTACTGGAGCGTTAGGAGATACTTTTCTCTATTATTCCTACACTCTTCTTCCTGTTGGCGACGCAACTGCCATTTGTTCTACGAACTCAGTTTTCGCCGAATTTTGTTTCCAGTATCCTTTGTATTTTTGGTGTGGTAATTATTTCTCAACCAAGTTTTTTATTTGCTTTAGACAAACATCCTTCCTTAAATTACAAAGGAATTGCTGCGGCAATAGCTGCAACTATTCTGGATTCGTTGTCTTTCAACTTTAATACCCTTTTAGGTAACGTTAATCATATTTTCATTACAACGTGTCTGAGCATAAATACGATTCTCTTGTGGGTTTTGAGTTTAATAAGCGATAAGCGTCTCCCCGTATTAGGGTTTGCTGATTGTTCCTGGACCAATCTGTACATCACTGCTATAGGATTAGCTGGGTTGTTGAATGTTCTTACTATCACACGAGGATTTCAATTAGTTGAAGCTGGTCCTTGAAGGATATAACCAAATACAATAGCAGAAGAAAGAGCTACACTACCTGTGCTTGGACATTTCTTTCTTATCGTGCACTGCATACGTAGATGAAAGAATAATAGCCACGATAATTAGCACAGCCCCAACAATACTTAAGACTCGAATGGAAGAGTCATGAGTAAAGAGGTCTTAAGTATTGTTGGGGCTGTGCTAATCATTATAGCTATTATTCTTTCATCTACGTATGCAGTGCACGATAAGAAAGAAATGTCCAAGCACGTGACTGAAGACATAAGTCAATCAGTAAGCAGCAAGGAAGGCACTAGAAATGACACGATTCAAGAAGCAACTGATTCAAGTGAGCTACATTCATTAATTGAAAATGACTAAATTTACAGTGAGAAGAATATTTACGAGAACGAAGAACTGGATTTTAGTAACTTATTTTAATGTATTCTACTATACAATGTGTGATTTTGATTATAAGAACTATCGAGAACAACTTATGCTTTAGTACTTTGAAAATATTATTTTATCCTCTATGTCATTAAGAACAACAATTTTGTATGTGGAAAAAAATATTAGAAGATATATTCATGAAACTAGAGTGATAGATGGTATATCTGGTAGCTGTAATGATTAGATTTATATTAGAAGATGTATTCATGAAACTAGTGTGATAGATGGTATATCTGGTAACTGTAATGAATAGATTTATAAAAGAAGATGTATTCATGAAACTAGTGTGATAGATGGTATATCTAGTAACTGTAATGAATAGATTTATAAAAGAAGATGTATTCATGAAACTAGAGTGATAAATGGTATATCTAGTAACTGTAATGAATAGATTTATACTAGAAGATTTATTCATGAAACTAGTGTGATAGATTGTATATCTAGTAACTGTAATGAATAGATTTATACTAGAAGATGTATTCATGAAACTAGAGTGATAAATGGTATATCTGGTAACTGTAATGAATAGATTTATACTAGAAGATTTATTCATGAAACTAAAGTGATAAATGGTATATCTAGTAACTGTAATGAATAGATTTATACTAGAAGATGTATTCATGAAACTAGAGTGATAAATGGTATATCTGGTAACTGTAATGAATAGATTTATAAAAGAAGATGTATTCATGAAACTAGTGTGATAGATGGTATATCTTGTAACTGTGATAGATAGATTTATATTAGAAGATATATTCATGAAACTAGTGTGATAGATTGTATATCTTGTAACTGTGATAGATAGATTTATATTAGAAGATATATTCATGAAACTAGTGTGATAGATTGTATATC